GCCACCGTTGCCTTCACGAATGAATGTGACGACACATAAATACGCCGGCCCTTATGAATAGTGGTGGCGTCAGTTTTCTCCCGATGGAACCATCCATCCGCCTGCACGGAGCAGCGATGCTGACCAGACGGGCATCTTTCAGTTGCCGCCACCCCGTGAAGGGAAGGATGACACAAAATCTGGTGGGACAACTGCGCCGCAAGTTGATGCTGAGCCGACACGTCAGAACGAGGATTGGCGACAGTCTGCCGCGGCTGACGGACCCAATACCGTTGATCAGAGTCCCGCATCCAACACGGCGACCAACACGTCCGAGACGAAGCCTGAGTTTGCCTTTGTTCGGAACATTAAAGTGGTTCCGACACCACCCGAAAGAAGGTTCACGCCTGTCACCGAGTCGAAGGAGGATCCCATTGTTGATGCGATGAGTGGTTCAATAAATGTTGAGTTGCCGCGGGGAGTCGATCTATTTTTTTCACAGAAGAAGGTGTTGCAGCTCAGGGATGAGGGTGTTCCAGGCACGTCAAGGGATTCATTTGTTTTACCCTCTCTCGTCAGAGCTGGTGGAGTAATTGCTGCTTTCGCCGAGGGTCACATTTGGATGCCGGATATCAAGGTGGCCAACTAACTAAGCCCTTTTCTTCCGATGTTGTTGCGGGGTACATTGACCCTGCGTGGGATTGTTCCACTCTTGTTGGTGAGGTCAATAAAAGATACATGGAGCGCACACACTGTGCTTGGTGCAGCGGAGGGAAAGGAGGGTTTGGGTGTTGTGCACCACTCCACAACAATCACGAAGGGCCACGGAGTGTTTCCTCTTGCGGGAGGCTCGGATGTGTCCTACGAAGGTGGGTGTTGGAGAGAGGGCGGCTTGGAGCTGGAACTGTTTGTGGGTGATGTCACGAATCCCACGGGTGGCAAGCAGAGTGAACGGATCGAATGGGGCGACCCCAAACACTCTTGAAACTGATCTCTTCTGCTTCTCACGAAGGTGAACGGACGGAGTTTATTGCTTCTGGTGGCCCAGGTGTTGTGATGGAAGATGGCACCTTCCTGTTTCCTCTGATGGCGAAGAATGAGGCAGAATACGTTTGCTCCATGACCATTTACTCGACGGACAACGGCAGTGCCTGGGCGCTCTCTGAGGGCATGTCCCCTGCGAAATGCCTTAACCCCCGCGTCACCGAGTGGGAGGGATCACTTCTCATGATTGTTGACTGCGAGAATGGCCAGAGGGTGTACGAGTCGCGTGACATGGGGACAACGTGGACGGAGGCCATCGGGAAGCTTTTAGGCGTGTGGGTCAACTCAGGATCGGGAGACTATCAGAAGGAAAGCCTGCATGTGGATGCCCTCATCACCGCGACCATTGAGGAAAGGAAGGTCATGCTGTACACTCAGAGAGGGTACGCCACGGAGGGGGAAAATAAGGCCAATCCGCTTTACGTTTGGGTCACGGACAACAACCGCACGTTTTACGTTGGACCGGTTGTCATGGACAGTGCTGCGGATTGGGAGCTCGCCAGCACCCTGCTGCACTCGGATGGGGATTTGCATCTTTTACAACGGAGGGGCAACGGTGAGGGCCGTGCCATTTTACTTTCCCGCCTGACGGAGGAAGTGAGTGCAATCAGGTCTGTCTTCAGTACTGGGGCGCAAAAGGACACTTTCTTCTCCAGCGTGTCTATACCCACGGCGTGGCTGGTGGCAGTTTTGTCCGATGCGGCCAGTAATGGCACGTGGAACGACGAGTACCTTTGCCTGCATGCGACGGTGACGAATGCATTGAAGGACAGCGATGGGTTCCGATTCACGGGACTTGAGTCCAGGGCAATATGGCCCGTGAACACTTGCAGTGATAATGTGCGTCATGTGTTTTTGAGCCACCACTTCACACTTGTGGTGTCGGTGACCATCGAAGAGGCTCCGAGTGGGAACACTCCTCCACTGACTGCGATGCTGGCGAACACTGAGCCCAATCGTACCATGGGACTCTCTTGCAGCCACAATAAGAAGTGGGTGATTTCGTTCGAAGGCACGACAAAAGCACGGAGGAGCACTTGGGAGCCGAAGAAGGAAGAGTACCAAGTGGCACTCATGCTGCAAGGCAACAAGGCCTCTGTGCACATTGATGGTCAGTTGCTGGGGGCGGAATAGGAAGAAGTGCTGTTAACAGGTCAGAAGCCACCTGATGTACTGAGGTTTTGCTTTGGCGCGTGCTGTGGGCATTAATCTCATGTGACGCTGACGAACGTCTTTCTGTACAGCCGCCCACTGAACTCCACTGCGATGCGTGCACTCAAGGACAGAGACCCCGTTCCGACGAGGGAAGCGTCTCCGACACCACCCGAGAAGATTCGAGTAGTTGACAGCGTCAGAGAGCACGTTGCTGGGGATATTACGGAAGAGAAATGAATGAGCACCACGCCCCTGGACACGAATCCCCATTAAAAAAAGTCACCTCGCAGGGTGTGGAGCGGCGTGAGTCCCGACGACCACCTCGCCTCTCCCAACGACGTGAAATTGATACTGCGTGATTTAAGCGGTAACAACACCGTGCGTGTGTGCGTGTCGTGTGTGTTGCTGCTTCTACTGGGATTGTATTTGGGTGATGGCAGTCTTCTGAGCCACGGAGTGTGGATCTGCGACGCCTCACGGAGAATACATGCCGCATTGCCCGTCCTTTTTTATACCACCGTTTTAATTCTATTTTACTGCTCGTTTGGTTCTTCAATGTCTTTACTTTTCAGTGTTCTTTTTAATGTAGTTCAGCCGGAGTAATAACTAGTTTTGTTTTTGCTTTACGTGGTGTTTGGCTGCTGCGCACCGTCATGAGCGACTTGTTTCCCTCTCTTGTTTGCTTTCTTGTCGCCCACACGCGGTGCCGGCCCTTCGGCTGCGCGTTCCACGGACTGCACGAAACACGAATTGGAAGAACAGGCCGATTGCTGCATGAAATGTGAAGGGATGTTTTGTGGGCTGGTGGAACAGTGCAATTCCTTTTTTTAATTTAGTTTTTCTCTTCCTTCCTGGTGCGGGCGATATGTATAAACACAAACACACGGTCGTTTTGTTGTGCTGATCGGCACATGAAATAAAAGTCTTGCCGAATCGATCTTCACCATATTTCTTTAAATTTCTGTGAACTCTTCCTGGACTTTTACCCTTTTTTTTTCTTTGGTAATTCACTGCGGCGTGCTTTTGTTGTGCCGTGTCCGCTGTCACCTTGTGTTACTGTGTCTCTTTTGTTGTCCCTCTGCTGGCTGTGCTTTTGACACGCCCTTATTTCATATTCTTCTTTTCCGCTAGAGGCACCGATGGTCCGCGGCGACGATTGTTTGTGCTCCCCATTGCGATGGCAGGAGGGTGACTGGGCGCCGGCCTGCTGAGTGCACTCGGAGGGAGCGGATGGTGTGCGCCGTGCCTCATTTGTGGGTGTGGGACGCCAACCCGCCGGGGAAGGGAGAAGTGAAGGACTGCGGTATGCACTTGGATGTGCCCCGTCCCTCTCGTTGAGGCCGTGTGTTTGCTGTCCGCATGGCTTTATCCTGCGGTGCGACGTCGGTGGCACGGCTATTGCATGTGTCCTTGTGCATGTGCTGTGCGGCGGGCTTCTCTTCGCCATGGCACCGCCCTTGTGTGCGGGAGAGTTGAGTGAGTGAGGGTGGCCGTTGTTTCCGCACATTGTGTTCTTTCACAAAAGTGGCACCTCTCGGCAGCCTCTTGCAGCACCCATGCCGTGTATTGAGAGGATGTGAGGGTCTGCTCCATGCACAAGGAGGACAAAGAGATGCAGTGCATGACGGCCAACCTGACCCGTGTGCGGTTGCGGCGCATGGAGCACGTGTGTCAGCACGCATTGGGCGTTGAGCTCCTTATTGTGGAGGAGAGGCGGCACGACGTTGTGGCGCTGTGTGTGTTGCACGGCCGGGGCATGCCGGCGATTGTGAGGGACGTGGAGTAAACGGAGCTGCTGGACTGAGGGAGGAAGTGGCGTACGTTGCGGCGCAGCTGGAGCGCATGACGGCTGCGTGTGCTGGAGGGCCTGACGATCCCGAGGCCTGTTCTGAAGGGGCGCGTGTTGAAGTGAGCGTGGCGTGCCTGTGAGGGACTGAGGAGAGAGGGAATAACAGTAATGGTGACTGTGGGAGTGTGAGGAACGGTGCACGGCGAGGAGCGCTCCTTTTTTTTTTTTTTGTTTTGATTGTTGTTGAACGGCGCTCAGCTAATTCTGTTGGTGGTGTGTGACTCTCATTGCTGGATGGGACGGTGCGTGGCTGTGTGACTTGTCTCTCCTTTTGCTCTGCGTTGACGGGGAGTTAGTTTGTGCTGAAGGCTACACGCAAGTGACGGGAGTGATGATGGCGATGATGATGACTGGCCGTGTGCTGCTGGTGTGTGCCCTCTGCGTGCTGTGGTGCGGTGCCGGCGGTATATGTGAAGAGCAGGTAAAAGTTGTTGACGGTGGCGCTCGCGGTGGTGGTAATGTTTTGTTGGTAAAAGAAAATGGAGCGACAGCAACACTAATGCCAAGCGAGCAAACAGGTGTATTGCAGGTTGAAGAAAAAGCGCCAAATAAACGCGCAGCGGACTCTTCGTCAGAAGAAGAAGACAAAGAAGAAGAAGATGATGATGATGATGATGATGAACCAGAAGAAGGTAGTAAAGAAGAAGCAGAGGAAATAATAATAGAAGATGGAAAAGGAGGAAAAGAAACAGTTAAAGAACATCAGAGTCAAGGAGAAGAAGCTGCAGGTCGCTCAGTTTCTACAAAAGGAATTACACGGAACAGTAATCAGCAAACACTCCACACACCTTTATCTACGGAGCACAATCCTTCTCCCGACAGTCTGGGATTAAATCCTGAAAGTCCGCAAAAGAATTTGTCGAAAAACGATGACTCCGCCAAAAATCAGCAAACAGAAGACAGCACACCAGGAGAGGAGGATAAGTCGAAATTAAGCGAAGGTGTACCAGAACCAGGCGCAGGTAAAGGGAATTCAGGTCCTGAGCCCGGTAAACCAACCGAAATTCATGAGCCGACAGGCTTGTCATCGGCTTCTTCGGGTGACGCTCAGGAGACAAAACACGTTGTGAATGAACCTCCCAACGCCAGTCCAGGGCCTCTGGGCGGCGTGACAACGGGCAGCCACACGGATGTTAAAACCGGCACGGAAGTTCACCCACCACCACCGCAAGAACATCACTCAGCAGCGGTAGCTGCAGAGAAGGAAGGTTCCATAATGGAAGATGCGGCCATTCAACGAGGTGGATACGAAAGGCCACAAGAAAAACTACCAGAAGCAGCAACAGCAGCGCCACCAGAAGGACTTCGCACATCTGCGGTGAGATCTTCGGAAAAAACAGAAGACGTTACTGATGAAAATGAAGAAATTGGTGAAGAGAATGCTGAAGATGAAACGAAAAAACAACAAGAACAAATACAACTACCGCAACAACCTCAACAATTCGGAGAAAAAGGACAGCAGCAGCAACAACAGGAAGAACAACCGCATGGATATCCCACAGACGATGGCGAAGTACCCAAAAAAGATAAAAACGCCGTTGGAACCAACAACAGTGATGGCGGCACCGCGGTCTCCCACGCCACCTCCCCTCTTTTGCCTCCTCTTGTTCTTGTTGTTGTGTGTGCGGCTGCTGCTGCGGTGGTGGCCGCGTGAGAGTGAGGGAGAGAGAGCCGTGCACCGCCCGCACACACACTCGTCTTACACTCTCTCTCTGTGTGTCCCCTTGCATGGACTCTCGCCCTCACCTCATCCCACGAGGCACACACATAATGTGCCCATTGTATATATTGCATGCACACCCATGCAGGCCCGTTGGTGCTCTCTTTTGCACGACACGCACCGCTGCCGTCCTGCCTGGCTGCATGGGCGGAGCACCGTAACTTTTTTTTGTTTTGTTTTTATTGCATTGAGTGGGCGACCTCTCTCTCTCTCTCTCTCCCTGTGTGTGTGTTTTGCTTTACGGGAGCAATGAGAGTGTGTGCGCTGGTCGTCCCACGCTTCGGCTTTTTTTGTTGTTTTTTGTAAATTTAATTTTTTTTACTGTTTGCTTTAAAAATTTTGCTAGTCTTTTTTTGTTATTAATTTGTGCGTTTTAATTCTCTTACTCCCCACATCCCTTCTTTTTTGCTTTTGGGGGCAATCACTATGGACGTTTCTTTTCTTTTCTACTTTTCCCTCTTTAATTGTTTCTTCTGCACTCTTCCTGTGAGGGGTGCCGTGTGTTTCCCGCCCAACTGCTCCACTCGCACACCCACCGACACGCTCATGACGACGGCCCTGTGCGCCTCGCCTGCTGCACGCATGAGGAGGGGCCGCGACGAACCGCGCGCTGAGGGAGCCGTGACGTGTGGGCGTGCGACGAGGGCCGGTGGGGCGGAGCACACATTTCTTTCCCTCCTGTTTTGTTTTTTTTATTGCCAGGGCGGGCAGACACCCGCAGCGCCACACACACAGCCACACCCTGCCGCCGTGTTTTTCTTTTTCTTTTGTTTTTTTTTCTGTGGACGGGTGTGTTCTACCACCGTGCGGTGATGGAGGGTGGGGAGCTGTGCTGAACGTATTGCCGTCCAGCCGCGCATTCTCACTGTCTTCTTTACTTAATGGGTGTCTGCTGCACACCGTCATGAGTGACGTGTTTCCCCCCTTTGTTTGTTTTTGCCCACACGCGGTGCCGGCTCCGCGGCTGTGCGTCCCACGGACTGCACGAAACGATGATTGGAAAAACGGGCCGGATGCCGCATGAAATGTGAATGATGTTTTGTGGGCTGGTGGAACAGTAAGGTCTTTTCTTTGACCTCTTTTTCTTGTTGCAGGCAATATGCACACCCAAACACATGACTGTATGGTACTTCTTGGCACATGAAATGAACTTCTTTCCGAATCAAATTTTTTCTTTTTTTAAATATTTTTGGGAGTTCTTTTGGACTTTCACCCTTTTTTTCTTTTGTTTTTGGTAAATCGCTGCGGTTCATTTTTTTTTCTTTGCGGTGTTCACTGGTGCTGAGTGCTTAATTGTCCCGTTGAGTGTCTCTCTGTTGGCTGTGCTGTTGGCATGCCCTCATTTTATTTATTTTTCTGCTAGAGGCATCGATGGTCCGCGACGACGATTTTTTTTGGTCCCCATTGCGGTGGCACGAGGGTGACTGGGCGCCGGCCTGCTGAGTGCACTCGGATGGGAGCGGATGGTGTGCGCCGTGCCTCACAGTGGGTGTGGGACGCCTCTCGCCACGACCTGCTGTGGGGCGTAATTCCAATTTGTCGGGGAAGAGAGAAGTAAAGTGCAGCGTCGTGGACTTGGGTGCGCTCCGTCCCTCTCGTTGTGGCCGTGTATGTGTGGTGCGCATGGCTCTTTCTTGCGGTGCGAATTGGATGGCGGTGCTTCTGCGTGCATTGTGCGGCGGGCCTCTTTTCTCCATTTCTTTACCCTTTTGTGTATGGGAAGGTTGTGGGAGAAGATGTGTGCGGGGGAGTGAGCGTGCGTGGCTGCCAGCACCGCCCTGTGCATTGAGGACTTCCATACACGTGGCTTTGCTTGACGGCGTTTTGCGGCACCCAGGGCATGGCGAGGAGGAGGATGGGGAGGATCTGTTGTGGGCAGAAGGAGGATGGTATGACAGTCACCTTCCGTGTCCTTCCCGATGCCGTTGGCAGTAAATACTGAGAGCATAAATTTGAGCGAGTGCGGGATGAAAGATTTATGCCGCTTTGTGTGTGCTACTCAATCGTCGTCATTGCAGGCTGTCGTTACGCTGCGTTGTGGTGCGGTGCCGTTTGATGAGGGAGGGGCGCGATGCCACGGCTGCTGCGCACCACAACCATTTATTGCCTTTGCACCGGCATTGTTGTTTTTCAGTTTGTGTGATATTTTTTTTTTTGCTTCACGATGAATTTGTTGGAGGAGCTTTGGTTTTGGTGCCTGCTTCACGGTGTTTCGCTTTGTGTGTCGGTTGCGGTGCTTCCACGTGGCGCCAAAGCGTTTGGTGGGGTGTTTATTCTTCTTTTTGCGCCTTGCAGCTAATCTTGTTTGGCCATGGCGGCATCGGTGGGATTCTGCGACTGTGCGCCTGCCGTGCGTGTCTCATCTTTTGCCGTTGCTCCCTCGTTGTGTTGGTGAAGGAGGAGACGAGCGACGGCGTCGGTGCAGTTGCGCCCCCGTAGGAGAGGGAAGGCACCGACCGCTGCTGACGGAGACGGTCTTTGCTGCAGGCGATCTGACGGGAAGACGTCACCGGTGTTACAGTTAGCCGAGATGGATGTGTGCCGCACTGCGTCTCCCACCCCTTTCATCATCCCCTCTGTCCACTGCAGTCACACGCCACACGCACCGCAGAGCAGCGGCGCGACCACCATCCGGATGTCTGTGAGCCGATCAGAATGTGCAATCGGTGTGGGCTCTTTTTCCCCGTGTTTGAGTGCCGCCGCCGTGCTTCTTTATTTTTCTTTTGTTGTGTATGCCGTGCGTGTATGGTGCCGCTGCTTGCTGCGCAATGCCGACTCGCGTGAACTGGAAACGACGTTTTGACTGCTGGCGATCGGCGAGCTCTCCACTCCACTTACGCAACACCAACACCAACGCCTCTCGGACGCGCTTGATGGCTGGCGGTCGTATCGCTGCCACGTGGTCTGCCTCGGCTCTTGTGTGTCGTGCACGGCATCGGGATCGCCCTGTGATGCAGCCATTCGGTAACAGAAGCGGTGCCAGTGGTCATGTGGCTTTTTGCCGAGATTCCGCCACTCGGCACGGTGGCTGTACGGGGCTGTGTGGGCGGTGGGGGGGTGATGGTGTCACTGACTTGATTGCGTCTGCGCGGCTTTGTGTCGGCGGCTGTACTGTGGTGGGGATTGTGTATGACCGGATTGCCTCTGCGTGCCACTGTGTTTGGAAACTGTTGTTGCTGCCTTTTATTTTTTTTTTGAGCGTGCAGTTAGAGATACTTTTGCTTTACCAGCACAACTATCGTTTCAAGGTGTTAGGGATTAATTGCAGTATTAGGATTAGCAGTGTTATTATAACGATCTGGCGGAATTGTGTCACTGGATTCGCCATCTGTAGAAAGGGATTTGCTAGACAGGAGTTATGGTCGACGGTGCAAGTGAGACACGCCACGACAGCCCTGCTGATACGTGTCTGGGTCGGTGGATGCGGTCTTCGGTGGGTGCGTGTCCGCGCAGCCGGCACCGTGTGCGGAGCAGGGCCATTGCGGCTGTGCGTGCGGCGCTTCTTTTGGTGTTGGTGCTGGTTGCGGCGGCATGGATGCCCGCGGTGCATGCGGTGGTGTTGCGACTGCGGGGCGGCACGGTGGACAGAGCCATCACGGTTGGCCGTGCCGTGGACACGGTGCTGATGGACGGCGTTTCCATCACGAACGGCGTGGCTGTGGTGTTCGACGTTGCGGCGATGCTTCCCGGTCCGCTGCGCATCGAATTGAGGAACTGCGTGTGCGACGGCGGTGCGCAGATCTACGTGCGGGGCTACAACGGCGAGCCGGCGAGTGACCGGAGCCTGGAGGTGAGCGTGAGCGGGCTTCCCGGCGAATACTG